GGGTATGTCTCCACTCAGAAAATATTCACAAGCAATCCAATCACTCTCCACCTGGGATATCTTGCCTCCTGAGCCAATGGAGAACAATCTTTGATTTACTATGGCTCATAATGATGTGAATTTACATGGACTAGAGGCCACATTATGATGCCCCAAACCCAATTTTATGCTGTGAGGTTCTGACTGACTATATAGTCTATGGCCCTGTGGCTCCACCCCACTACCTCTCTCCGTTCTTCCTATGTCAGCAGTTACACAAGCACAGTGACCGTGCCCGAGTCTTTGCTGAAGTCCTCAAATTAATTTTCCTAGGACGGGGTATAGGGAGGCCAGCAATAATGAAATTCAGAATGATCCACTGGTTTGAAATGCTTCATCTCATCCATGTTCCCTTAAATCTTCTAAAATTAAGATAAACAGGTCTCTAGTAGAATAAAATTGGATTAAAAATTTAAAAAGATACCTGTGGCCTGGTAGATCTGGAACTTATAGGAACACAGAGAACCAAATTCATTTAGAGTTGAATGATTTTAAATTTACAGATAGAACTAGGTTTACATTCAATTTAAAGTCATAAAAATGATTTACTAAAAACATTAATGTTCTAACAACATACGACTAGCTTTAAGTGTTTGAAATATGTTGGCAAAACTAAACCATTGAATTCACAAATTATAAATAATTCTGATCTAGTCTTTAAGAAGTTTTAGGAGGTGCTATGTAGTAATAGCTTTTAGTACTCATTGCTTTATGACTCACATATATGTCCCTGCAATAAAACACAAATATTACATAAGTTTGACTTTTCATCAATTCAGGACTATCGTGGCCAATTATTACTGATTAGCTTGAAAGGACTGAATTGATTAGATTCTTTTCTTGCCTCAGTCCCATTCTATATACTATTACCTCAGTCATCTTAACAACAACGGCCAAGCAGTCTACCCTCCTCAGCTCACTGACTCTGCAATGAACTAGCTCCTTCAATGTTCAATGAGCCTAGCTGGTATTATTAGCTTCATTGCACAGATGAGGAAAGTGAGACTCAAAGAGATAAATAATTTGTCCCAAATCTCACAGTTAGTAAACAAAAGAGCAAAGGTTCCAGTCTTGGTTTCCAAATCTAAAGCCAGTATGTCCAATCCTGTGTTACAGAAATGCCACGCCCTTCTATTTGTGCATCAAAACAAAACCCCATTGTCAGACATAACTTCAGTCACAGTGATTTAGTGATGCATAATACTTCACAGCTGCCAAAAAGTCTCTACACCCTCCACATCCTCCAATGGAGGTGCAGAGAGTACAGTATTAATGTGCGTACAAACATGTTTCTCTTGGTCACTTCTTAAGAAATCCAGAAATATGGTACACATTAGACATTCCAAAGACCCCCTTTAGCCCATCCCACTCCACCCAGGGATGGGACTAGGCAGAGGTCCATGGACAAACGATAAGAACACATTAAATGAATGAAATTCTTTCTATCTTTTTCAAAGCACTTCCTTAGCTGATTCACTGTTGGTCACCTCATGGGGGAAGCAGATGACAGGACTATTCCTTCTTTGAGGGACAAGGCGAAGGAGGATCAGGGCTACAAAGTGAATTCACAGTTAATACGTGATACTCATGACACTGCAGGACCAGAACCCAAGTCTACCAGAACCTTCTCATCTACTGGTCCCTTCTTGGGGCATGAACCACACAGTACCTGGTGTCAGATGGGTCTAACAGATGAAGAAGCAACTTCATCACCAAGACCAGCATTTCCCCGGGAATTCAGCAGTGATTCAAAAGAAACAGAACACTAAAACACCAACATGTATTTCTGTCCATTTACTGACAAAATCCTTAAAAGGGATAAGAAGTTAAACGAGTAATTTTTAAAATGAAAAATCATCAAACTTCTATCAAGCTAGCCTGAGATATAATCTATCTGAATTTTAGACTTAAATGAGATGTGCTTTCCAATCCCTGGTGGTGATGGCACATTCTCCTTCATGGGAACTTACTGTGAAATTGCACCACCAGTTACAGTCATTCCCAGTTCATCCCACAGAACACTATCATCAGAGGGAGTCTTCACTGAGCCCGTGCTTGGCTACACAGGGTATATAGTTCATAAATTTCATACTCACCTTGAGAAAAGGGATGTGTTATAAAACCAAAGAAAGAGCTTTCCAAAGCATCAGTCTCTCAATATCTTAAAATCATACCAACACCAAATCAAGTGTGCAATTAAAATCAATTCAAAAACACAATAGGATAGTATGGCCAACCGAAAGAGGAAAGAGCCAAGGAGCAGAAACAAGTATTTCTAACTAGTTAACAGACTTAAACACACGTTTCTTCATCAGAAGCCAATTATGTGGTCTCAAGTTTCTAAAACGGGAGGTGGCTTTGTGGATTACATTTGTGTTGGTCTGATAGACCCTCACGGGTTTTTTGCAACATAAATGATTTCCTTTTAACATTTTGTCCCTTCTGGTTTTATAATCCATTTAGTGCTTGCTTCAAAAAAATTGTGAAGAATCTTATCATTAAAATAATTTCTAAAAATTTTCTTTATTAAGAAAACAAATAGAAGTGGACTTTTTTTTTTTTTCTGCTTGGGGGGAAACAGCCAGGGGGAAGCAGCTGGGCAGAGAAGTGGGGGATTGTTGGCTCCTTCTCAGCTTCCCATGGTAAGCGTCTTATGTTAAGATCCAGCTCACACACATTTGGCTTTCACAGGCCCTGCTCTAGCTTTGCCACACTTGGCCACTTAACACTGGTGTCCCCACTAGACAATGAATGTCTGTATTTTAGACATCTTGGTGCTTCTGGCCCAGAGCCGCACACTCAATAGGAACTCAGGAAACACTGGCCAAAACAGCAAGCATGGCTGAAAGGCTCTGCTTTGCAGACCTGGTTCTTAATTTACACAAAGTACCCTCAGCATTTCCTATTAAAGTGGCCTTACTGGTGGAATAGAATTGGGATGCAGCCACTGGGAGTCAGCACGAACAGACAATGAAAATCCCTGGGAAGACTTGGACTTTATTTCAAAAATTCACATGTCAAACAACTGACAAATTAGCTTTAAAAATGAAAGTTTCTTTCATCTGAGAAAAAATTCACTTGTGATGTATATTCTCCTTCATAAGAAACTTAGTTTTGTTTTGATAAAATGTGTTTTTAAATTTCTTATTATTTTCCCTAAAATATATTTCAAGAAACTGGTTGTTCCATGAGCATGTGTACCTTTAAATCCTTCAGCTTGGCTGCCCTGCCATGGGGTTGCACATTTAATACCACCATCATAACCAGAAGCCCTTCCTCCCATCTCTCCCTGTTTTTCCTTTTTAAGTGCCTCATCATGGCCGGGACAGTTCCTGCTTGGAAAGCTCAGAGATAAGGCATGTCAGCCGCACTGTTAAAATTAGTGGTTTCCATGGCCTCAGTCAGTTTAGTATGGTTTAGGAGACATAAGGCTCCAAGGAATTCACAGGAGAGTGACTGTTAACCTGGTGTGGCAGAGTCAAACACAGTGCTCCTTCTCCAGGAATAAACCGCCACTAACCTAAGAACATGAGGATGGAGGGGCCATAACTGAGGCCCAGAAACACCAGACGTTCCCTTCCTGAGCCAGAGTTCATGCAACCACCTCTCCAGAGGGTCAATCTACACGTCTGAGGCAGTAAACAAAAAGATTTCAAAAGGGTACTAAGTGACAGGGACTATGATAAGGTCATAGGAAACATGAACAGAACTGATCATGCTGCGTTAAGGAAAGATTCTACAAGCTAAGATTAGAAAGAGATGAATTCGAAGGGAAATTCTCACAGTGACAGCAGCAGAAAATCAAGCCAATAAACGATTCTGATCTGAAGGAGGCAAGATTATGAAATTATTCAACATTACATGCTAATTCTGGGTTTATTTTTCCTTCACAATAAAGTCTGAAACACCACTGAAATATTCATGATACACAGTGGGTAATTTAAAGGGGCCAGATTATAAATAAAACCAGCAAAGACAAAGATCCTTTCCTGGGGGAAGACCAAGCCTGGAATCCTTTTACTCACTTGTAATCCACTTCTACACATGGGCAGATCAATGCAATTGGCTTCAGGGAAACATTTTCACTAAATTAATAGTGTTTGGCAAGCGTCAGAAACACAGAATCTCACAGACAGATACGGGCAGAAAGAATCACAGTTCAATCCAAAAGCAACACACTGAGGGACACTGGCTTCCACACGCATGCAGAGAAGCCCCGGGGCGGCTGAAGACACGCAGACTGCCCACAGGGCAGCAGCAGAATGCGCAACACGGATTCAACTGCTTACCCACTAAGGACACCAAGAACCAGGTTAAGGACGAAAAATGAGCCAAGGATGATCAGACTAACAAAATACACCCATGGCCATTCCCATCCTATCGCATCATTTACCTGTAAAATGTAAGGAGATCAGTTATCAGTTATCCATTTACTAAAGAGCAGAGCCCCCAGGGCAGCAGCCAGACCACTCAGGACTTTGAAGATGAGAGCTCCTCACACAGAGACCTCAGCTATGGTCTTCCATTTCTCTTCATCTAGTAAAGACAAGCTCTGCTGCTAAAATCTACAAACGTGGCCTAAGAAGTCGGCCGGACTAGTTCACTTAGCTACTGTTTTGTACCAATTTATCTGCATTAGATTTGGATCCAGACCAATAAAGCAATTATAAATGCATCTCATTTTAGTATAGACAAAACGGCAGGCACTGGAAACAATTTAAATCCCAAGAGACAACACTTGATTAATTTCTGGTCAATAATGGTTCTATAGCCTTCTTTCATGAAGGCTGGTGAAGTTCCAGGAAACACCCGGCTTCGGGAAGTCTCAGTAGGAAAGAAAGCGACTTGGATCCCCAGAGAGCCCTTGGCACCCACCCGGAGGCCCCCATCTACCAAAGCCTGTGTGGTCTTGGCATCTGTCCTCAGGACTCTGCTTTCAAGATGAAAGAGGTGTAGCTTACCCGCTCAATACACCAAGTACAAGATTTAGTACGAAAAATGACCCAAAGATGACGAGACTGACAAAATACACCCAGGGCAATTCAAATCCCATAGCATCATTCATCTGCAAGAAATAAGACGGTCTCACAGGAGCGGGTTAATAGAGAATCTAATAAGAAGAAAGGGTCACGTTAGAGACAGCATTCTATACACATTTATTTAAACACTTACTTAGATTCAAATCAGAGACAACAGCAGTCAATGCACTTTCATTCTCTCTCTCTTACACACATACACACACACACACACACACACACACTCTCACACTCTCACATACTCTCTCTCTCTCACAAAGAATCAAAGCTTTCAGGGCAAATGATAGCTTACTCTGGTCACAGGTAGGGAAATCAGCTGGGATATGGCTCTTGCTCACAGGAAACTTCTTGATAAGGGATTTTCAGGAAAATAATCTTGGTAGTAGACAAAACTAGTTAGGACTTGGCTGGAAACTATTTTCTACTCTACCCAAGTGATTAGCTTTTGTTGCTTTTAAAATTTGTGATAGTGGAAAATTCTTAGAGAGATTTTCTATATTTGAATCTATAAACTCTTTTCTTCAAAAAATGCCCTAAAATAATAGCTTTCCATTAGAAGTCAAGCTACCCAAAGAGACCTAACTCATCTTAAATCAAGAATACCTGCAACCCAGTGAGTACAAGCACAGATAATTAACGCAAGGAAGAAACATGTTCAGAAGTCAACTGGCTGACCCATAGTCGAGGGTGCTTCGGGGAGATTTTTTCCATCCAAACCCCTTGGAAGGACCAGGAGGAAAGAATCCCTTTGACCCATCTAGCATTTACAGAGGTGGCCTGCCTCGGGAGAGCTGGCCCCAGCTGGGAGCTGACTGGTGTTACAGGTGGAGGGTTCACTGGTGCCACTACTTTCTGAGACAAGCTCAAGCAGCAGAGTCAGACAAGGCCTCCCTGACAGGCCCTCTTGGGAAAGGTTTGGTCCTGATACTCTTTCATGCTGGAGCAAAGAGGTGCATTAAAGGTTCACAACTGGATGGAACTTTCCAGCAGCACAGGTCAGTATTAAATTAGGCAAATACTTCTCCCAGGAAGGAGGTGTTAAGGACCAGTGAGAGGACAGAATGGAGTGACCCCAGGACTGGTCTTGCTGGAATACCCAGAATCAGAGAGTCAGGGTCATTCATGGCTCATGAGGTGTATAAACATGTGCTCTTCTCTACATTATCTGCCTCCAGGGCTTAGCTTTACAGAATGAGACTCACGCATTTCACTATGTTTATCTCATGTGCAAGCCAAACAGGAAAAGAGAACATAAAAAAATTACCTAGCATCCGTTGCTGAAGTCCAGGGAGAGGGCATTAAATCCCTTATGAAACACCTGTTCAGCTACATGAAAACTGATGTGCTTAATAGAACTCATATCAGTCTGCACATCTTACATTGGCAATTAGAGTAATGAATGAGCCAGGGCCGTGGCTGCAATTGTTGATCTAATTAAGTTATATAAACTAATTTCAGCAGGAAGGCAGAGGGTAATTCTTCCAACTACACCACTAAACTTATTTAAAAACCCATGTGTGGAGAAGAACCAGGCTGCCTGGGGACAGTGGCCAGAGCTTAGCCTGGAGTCAGGACCCTGCCTGGGGATGTCTGTGGGTTGTTTGCTCTGTGGGGACAGGAGTGCATAAGGCAGGCAGTGGGTGCAAGTCAGTACTCCCACCAAGAGACCTCCCTCTTCTACAGCCTTGGGAAGGTCAGCTGGCCCAGTCATCTGCTTACCAATCCTCGTTCAGCCTCAGCCTTGTGTTCCAGAGAATGGTTCAGGTAACAGCCATCTGCTCCACTTGGGAGGAAATTTTTTTCTTCATTAAAGAAATGTTTAATATTTTGGAGTAGGTGTTTAATAGATTTAAAACAGAAATATCACCTGGAATGACAGGCGGTGCCTGGGGTAAGACTGGTGCTAAACAAAAGCATGGGAGAGTATCTAAAGCTCCAGAAAAGTAGGAAAGAGAAAGGAATCCTATGCTTTAAGGACCTATCTTTCACCTAACTAAGTCTTGTCAACTCAAGCCACTTTTCAGAAGTCAGTACTTCTCAGACCTTTCCATACACCAAGGATAAGTCAGATCCTTGTAAGTCAGTACAATGTTCCCCTAAATACCCAGATGAAAACATTCTCCTGGGGCCTTTGTCTGCATGGGTTATATCAACAATTAAGAAATCAGCATGAGCTGAAGCATTTTGATTTATATTAACTTTTAAAATATTTATACCAAATCATCCGGGAAAAAAATATTCTATTTCGTTTCATTTTTTTCCTCATTTCAAAGGTTGAAATATATATTTGTGTGTCAAATTAAAGATCAATCTAAGGTTTTGTGCTTTTTCTGTTGGTAATGCTACTGGAAGCTTGGTGTGCTGGTTGTAGCTTACCTGAGCATGGATTGAGAGAAAGGCACAAGGCGGCCAAATCTTGGCTGACTGATTAAAGAGGAATTTCCCAAGGGCCCTGAATGAAGTGGATCATCAACTTGACCATGATAACCTCCTGCTAGGGTCTGACAGCTAACACCTCCACAGGTGTGTTCCCAGAGAAAAGAGCTTGGCACTAAGGCCAGAGGCCATCAATGATTTTACATGGATAGCTCTCTCCTGAAACCAACACTATTTTAATTCTTACATTTAAAAACATTTCCTGAGTTGAATAAAATATGGGTCATGCAGTTTTATTCTGCATCCTGAAGACAAGAAAACTGTAGCCTAGAGAGTTCTGGTGATCTACCCAAGCTCACACACCCCCAGCCTGTCTAGTCTTAATGTTCTTTCCTTGCACTATACCCACTGCCTCTGTGGACAACAAGTACGAGTGAGTCAGATGAATTTAAGGAACTCACTTCATCAAAGAGCTCTAAAGTAACTTTTTCTCCCACTAAAAGTTAATCATCCATCCCGTTTTCTGTACATCAAGATGATACTGTTAAGGGTTTCTTTGTGCATATTGCCCCTTCCCTGCCAGTAGTTCTCGTCTCAATAACCAGAAAGGTATTTGCCGACCACTCCAGAAAATTAAGGCATCAGTTTGAGAATACTGACTGAATACAAATTCACAAGGTGCAAAATAATCCCTGGTAAAGTCTCTGTCCACCAGATAAAAACACTTGAAGGACTGAAATTTGTTGGCAATCAATATTTAAAATCTAATCTCCTTAGTTATCTCCTCACGATGTCTCTTTACACCCTAGTTGTGATAAAAATAGATATCTAAACTTGGCCTATCTATACTGAGACAATGGAATAGTACAAAGTATTTGTTGAGCACCTGCTCTGTGCCAGACACTGTGCTGGGCAGGGAAGGTCTATTCTGGAACACAGCAATGTGATTTCCCACTGAATGTGGCCCATAACATATTAAATTAAGAAGGCCTTGTGCCTACCTCCATGATGAATTCATAAATGTAATCAGCAAGTGATTAAAAGGAACTCTGCTTTTAACAAACCTGTGATGTCTTTCAGAGAATAAGATCTTAGTGAATACTCTGGAAAATAGGACTTAGCTGCCCCCTAGTGTTCTAGAAGGTCCAAAGACCTCTGACAGAAGAAGAAAGCACAGGAAAGGGTCCTGGGTTCTAATCTAGACCAGGGTCACAAACTATGACCTGTGGGCCAAACCTAGGCCACTATCTGCTTTTGCATGGCCATTGAGCTTTAAAAAAAAAAAAAGCTCTTATATTTTTAAATAGTTTAAAAATTCAAAAGAATGACACTTTATGACATACAAGTATTATCCAAATTCAAATTTTAGTGGCCACAGATAAATTTGTACAGGAATAGGTCATACTCCATGCTAATACAATGCCTGTTGTTACTTCCAAGGACAAAGGCAGAAGACAAAGTTGAGCAGTTGTGAGAGACCATATGATCTGCAAATCCAAATATATTTACTATCTGGCCCCTTAAAAAACTCACTAGACCCCTATTCAAGATGAAGGGCCACAGCACCACATGCTAGAGGACCCTGGGCATGTTCGGTGGTCTTTTGACAGTCCACGGATCCCACCTTCAAAATCTCTTCAAAATTATTCCTTCTATAAAGGGATTTATTACTTGTTCCTCCATCAGAATAAAGATGTCATGCAATTCAGAGACTATAATTATTATATTGTCAAATTATTAACACTGTGATCGTCATATTAACAACAAAGATCATAATTATATCATCTTATGTGATACTTAATGGTTCCCAGGAAAGCAAATGGAAACTTGTTCCTGGGTAAATGGAGATTTCTCCCATTTTTCACTTGCTTGACAACAGGAAAATGGTCAAGGGAGAATCGATATGTAGAAATATAACATAAAGTATGAAATTTTCCATTAGTCAAGGCATGTTGGATCAGTAGTTGGCAATTCACCATGACAATAGAGAACAACAGAACTGAGAGGAGTCATGGGTTTTTACTTTTTTAAAATATCAATATGTTTATTGTTTGGAGGGGGAGGATGAGTTTGGGTCATTTGGATGATGCTTTTTATACTTATCAGAAACTTGACAAGAGAAGACTGGCATTGAGACCTCAACTAATCTAAGGGTTGCAATTTAGAAGATAACAGTGAAAACCCTTTATCTAATTTAAGAGTCCCCTTGCATGGCCATGGTCTTGGCTCATCCAGTAATCTCCCTCCTCCTTCCTGCTCATGAAAAGCATTGTCTTGTGGGAATAAAGAACAGATGTTCACACCCACACAGACAAACACACACATAGGCAGGCAGGCAGGCACACACACGCACATGCACACACGCACACGCACATACATGCTCTCTCACTCTCTCCCCCCAACCCCTTCCATGGCAATCAGGAAAAGGAGGAGAGGGGAGAAACAAGATACAACATTGATGATGTTCAAACCTCACTCCCAAACTAGACTCACACTTTGGGGATGAAAATAAAAAGATACCTCCCTTGTCTAACATTAAATATTTAGGGACATCTACAACCCTGTGAGCATGTTATTCACTGGTGAAGGGAAGCAAAAATCTATTTATAACTGCTACATGTTATGTTCTCTGAAATTACAGAGTACCATGAAATCCAGCAAAATATCTAAAATTTAGATATTATCAGAGGCTATTTCTCAATTTGTAGGCTTTCTAACTAGACTGGCCATTTAAAAAGTATTCTATTACTAGCTGCCTTTTAACAAATCATTATTGAATCCTGGTTAATCCCATTTAGACTTTGGTTTAGGCTCAAAATCTGCATGTCAGCCGTTTTTCCCAGCACCTCTGTACCATGGAAAATAGTTTCTAAACTTCTGTGAGCTTTTTCAATTTCTATCAAATGAGCTCACAAACTCAGCTCTGGGAAATGGCTACAAAAATACAACTGCTCTTCATTTACAGCAAACCCTTCTGGTCTGTCAGGAATAAGAAAAACCAGACCTTAGCCACTGACAGGGTGCCCATCTGTTTCCAAGGTGGACAGGATGGGTCTACCAGCCAGCCCTGGAAGCTTGATGAGCCATTTCTACTGTCTCTGATGGAGATCTGGAGCTCCAAAGAGAAAGGGAGAGAGAGCTAAGGGCTTGTGCAGGGCTGGTTTAGAGTAACACTGAAGATGAAGTAGGGAAATATAATAAAAGGGGAAACCCACTTTGGCTTTAAGGCTGAACTAAGTGATGAAAAGCATGAAAAGGATCCAGTTTATCTTCTCCAACTTCCATTTATAATCTAGTAGAGCAAAACTGTCTTTAAGATTGAAGGTCAATTTCAGCCCACAAAAGTTCAGGAGTCTCTTAACCGGGGAAATGACACCCTGGCTCTCAGCGTTTTATCAGGACAGCCCTGGCCTTCTAAAGTTCCTCCAAAAAAGGGGGTTACTAGGCAGGCTCAGCAAAAGTTCCCCAGGCAACACTGGGGAGTGGAGAAAGCCAAATTATTCCGTGCTTTCTAGAACTGAAAGACCTTGAGGGGAAAGGAGATGAGTCTTGCTGAGCAAAGAGGGGCTGCTTCCCTTCCCAAAGAACTGACTTCCAAAGTTTCTTTTGCAGCCAGCTCTCCAATGGTTTTAACTAGAAAACACTCATTTCAAAGCAAATATTCCATAAACTCTCTCTTTGAGCTGCTTACCCAGTAGAGCACATCTGTCCAGCCCTCCATGGTGATGCACTGAAATACGGTGAGCATGGCAAAGGCAAAGTTATCAAAGTTGGTGATGCCTCCATTTGGGCCAACCCAGCCACTCCTACACTCTGTGCCATTGGCGGTACACTGGCGTCCATTCCCTGAGAACGCACACGGCGCTGGGTCCTCTTCAGCTACAAGATCTGCAGAGCAAAGAGGCTACAGCACTCAAGACGGGACATCAGCAAAGCCAACTGAGTGGAAACTAAGGACCCTTGCCTGAGCCCAGACACACTCTCTCCCGCCCATTCTGTCCCAGAGCCTACTTGTCCTCAAGGTCTGCCTCAAATCCTACCTCCAAAGAAAGAGCATTTCCTCCCCTCAGAATTCATTGCTCTTTCTCACCTGAACACCTTCCTTCTGCCTGTTCAAGACAATGCTTTCAGTTCACCTTGTTTTCCAGTTTAGGAGGCTCCTCATCTTGTTTGCCAGGACGTATTATACAGGAAATCAGAAAAGGCGATTGCATTCTCATTTATTCTGAATGTAATTCACACGAAGAACTGGCTCAATAGCTTTACTGGTATATTTGACTTTTATTACCTCTCATTTTGTTTTAGATTTTCCCTAAGCCACAGACTAAATTGTTTTTGGGAAAATCAAAAATTTTTAAAGTTAGGTTAGTTACCATTTTCACTACTCACCTGAGTTGGCAAAAAAACATGTTTTGTGCATTTTTCCAATAAAAAGTTCCAATCCTATAATAGCATAGATTATGATTACAAATAATACCAAAAGGGCTATGTGAAGGAGGGGAACCATGGCTTTTATAATGGAGTTCAGGACAACTTGTAAACCTAGGAAAGAGAAAAATAAGTTTGTGAGCTGGGAAGACACTTCTGTGGTACACATCCATAATTCTTGACAATGCCAGTTCCGCGTGTGACACTCACGTATGAAACTCGGGTATGACAACTTTTAATTAAAATGAAGCCTGAAGGTGACATTAAAATGAATGTAAAGATCATCTAATCCAACTCCCTCACTTGACAGATGGAAAAACTACACCCTGGGGATGGGACTGCTCAGTCATCAAAGTCCTTCGTTCATTCAAACACCTCTTTGAACATTTGCCATGTGGTAAGCATAAGGTTGAGAGTTTTCAGGGGACATGAAGATGTATTCTATAATGTACCTTCTCTCAAAGAGGCATTTGAGAAGGAGACATAAGAACCTAACAAGTCACTCTAAAATTCAAGAGGGATGAAAGACGCTGCATCTGAGTGGAGAGAAAAAAGGGAACATGGCAGGACCCGAAGGCTGAAGAGAATGGATTTCCAGAGGTGAGCGTGGGAGAGCAACTGCTTTGGGCAGAGGGAAGAGTATCAAATGCACAGAAGTGAGCAGTGCTGTGTGGGCTCCCAGGTGCCGAGTCCCAATGGGTGGTCATGCAGTGAAAATGAAAATGAGGAAAGAAAGGCATATCGCAGCTAGTGAGCTTGGTGGTTGTAGGGGGGTTAGAGGACCAGACTTGAGTCCATCAGCATACAGTGGCCTCTTTGGAAAGAGGCAGCAGAGGTGAGAAAGGCTGGGAAGTAGCTGGAGAGTGTGGGCCTATCCAGGTAGGACAGGATGGAAATGGGAATGAGACCCCAGTGCAGCACCTGGGTGTGAGGGAGGAGGAAGACCTCACGGGAACTGAACACTCCGATTATCTGAGCTAGAGTCAAGATGTAATCCCAGTGGCTGACTCAAAACAAGCATGTCAGAAGGAAGCTCCCCTGAATGAGGCAGGTCAAGGGCTGAGGAAGGAGTGGGTGGGAGCAACTTTGGACCTGTTGCATTTCAGCAGCAGCAGCACAGGGGAATGGAAGTTTTTCTAGCATCCTCTCACTTTCTCAACACATATTAAAAAAAAATGCAGAGATGACAGAATGGTGTGTTAGGAATCAGTACACTGAGCAGTAAGAACACTTATCAACAGTAACAAGGGTTTGCCATTGTAAGAAGTACCTGGGAGGAGGAGGGGTCAGGAGGGGAAGGAAGATGAGAAAGAGGCCCTCATGCTCACAGAGCATGTCTTCCAAGACTTTCACTAAAATCCCAGTGCTGCCTTCAGACAGTTTAATGTTCAAATGGATTCCTTTGGAAAAAATGATCGGGAACATGGTTATTGTTTTTTCCTTCCATGAGGAATAGAGAGAAGGAGAAGGAAAACATCTGTCCTCATCTACTTGAATAGAGTTGAGAATTTTGTGAGTCTTTATTTTTAGGCATGGATAGGCCATCCAAAATGGTCACCCGCCAGTTAACACTTCTAATGTCTATGGCAACGAGCCACACATTTCATAAATATGTTTGTGTGTTGAGTATTGTACCTCAAATTGACCAAATTTATGAGATAATGAAGTTGAATCTTAATGTGCATGTATACACCTTCATGACGTTAGGTTCCTTTGAACATTATTGATGTGTACAACAGATCAAACAGCCTCCAATCAAGGAGGAAATGGATGGAATGAAAGAATCCCTGTCTGGAGTGTTTCACGACCCACTAGCTGCGTACATATCACTACCTCTGAACAGGACTCTGCCTCCTCGTCTGAAGGTAATGTACACGGATCAGATAATCTTAGGGGCCTTTTATACTCTGATGGGTTAGGATTCTGATAAACCATTGAGTCTGAGTGGTTAAGCGTACCACAAATGTCTACACTGCTCTCTTTGGAAATGTGTATTTACCTTCCACTATATGAATAAACATTCCACTATATGAATAAACATTCACACACACACACAATCCTGTCTTGTAGGACAGTCTGAGTTAATCTCTAGGAGAGACTAGACCACTCCCAGGTAAGTGTAAACAATCACACCTCCCCAGGCATTTTAACAAGTCCAGGTAGAGAAGAAATCACTAATCCACAGCTGCATCACCCCAAGTACTGGACCCCTTTGCCCAAAGCCCATGGGGGTCGGATGAGAGACTTGGGTGGCCCCCACCAGGCAGCCAACACATCTGGCACAAGACTCGGGTTCCCAATTTCCCTGTCAACCTCTGGGAGAGCAGGATGCAGATCTCTGTCAACTCATAGTCAGTGATGTTTGGGGGGAAGAGGAAGAAATACAACTTAAAACTGGTTTTCAAAAGCATCAGTGACACTGGACCATGCCACTGTCAGTGAAAACCTCATCAGGCAATGGAGTCCAACAAGGCTTCGTGAGCTCTGAGAATCCTCTCCCACCGGACACTGCACCCACCAAGCCACGGCACCCGCCTGTCTGACACAGCACGTGCCATGGGCAGGCTGCCACCATCTGTTCTTTAGGGGGGAAAAGTTGTCGTGGTTACTTTGAAATTAGATTAAGCTGTAATAACTAAATCTGAAAGAACATGCTTGCTCACTGAACTTCTCATTAAATCATATTACACGTAACAGAGCCAGTCATTTTCAAGGTATTTCTATTTTTCTCAATTGCTTCCAGACAGTTCCATGGTTTTGTGATCTTTTTCAATGAAAATAAATGAACCATCTGGAAAAACAAGTACACAGAAAACACCACTTCCTAAATTTTAACATGTTAAATTTGGAAATCACTATTTTTCCTCCCAGAGGATTTTTGGTGAATTCTGAGCACCAACAGGCTGAGTAACATTTCAAAAACTACTTCTGGAGAGGCAAAATCATGGTCTGTGTGGGTCTGATGGTTCTAGAAGTTATGAAAACCTGCATAGTCTGAGGCCCCACATCCTTCCTGCAGCTGTGGGAAGAGCCACGTCATGACCATAATCCCAGGGAGGTGTCAGGACTCCTACCCGCAGAGCACCTCCATAGGTGTCCTATGGGGAGTGGGCAGAACTACTGAAGCACACCCCATATTCCTTAGGGACCAGTGGCCTGTATATGGCCAAACCCCTGCTCCACCTCAGCTGGCACTCAACCTGGCCTGGAGGGTCTGCAGCAAGCAGCAAACTGGGGCCCAGAAGAGACAGGCCTGAGACTATGGATGGTACAGCCTCTCTCACCACTGAGGGTCTCCGTGTGCCAGACCATGCACTGGGGGCTCTCCCTGCATTAGCCCATTCAGCACCTTCACACAGATGCCATCAGGTCCCACATGCAGGGGAAGACACAGCAGAGCCCGATGGGCATGATTCCTCTGGTGAAGAATAAGCCAGCTTTTTAGGAGTTCAGGCCCCTGATGTTCACCACTTTGGAAAAAAAAAAAAACAGTCAGATGGGCCTTGCTACACCCTCAGCTACATAACCCACCACTTTCAGAGGGCAGGCCGGGGTGTGGGAGGAGGGAAGCACAGCATGTTGTCACCAAAGGAAAACTAGACTGGAGTCAGGAGGCCTGAACTCAGGGTGTCAAGCCACAGCTTACCCCGCCTGCAAGAGAAGATTATCTTTTGTACAGAATCAGGAGACACCACCAGCCCTGCCCCTTCTCGGGCCGTCCCAGGGACCCAAAGGTGCAGCACTTTGCAACTGCGACTCCATGGCCATCTGTGGAGCCCTGGGCTGGTACTACACACCTCAGACACTCTGTTTCATGATCCTGAGACCCACCCAGAAGAAACAAAGTAACAAACTCCTAGCTTTAGGAAGCAAAAAGTGCTTACTGGGCACTCCTGACACTAGTCGAAGTGGTCGTAACACTCGAAAGGCGCGGAGGGCTTTGACATCAAAGCCTCCTGATTTGCCACCAGAGTGGTTACCGCCTTCTGTTTCTTTGGTTAATTGTTCCAAAATTACACTAAACAATCTGAAAGAAGAAGAAGAGAAGAAGAAATGTTAGAGTCTGTCACCCAGGGAAGCAAAACAGGATAATAGTAGTTATTTTTGAACAAGGGCTAATTCTGTGTGGCTGCTGCTTAAATAAAAAGGAAGAGCAATGCAGAGGCAAGAGCCAGGCTGGGAATCCTGAACAGGTCCCCAGGTACAAGGACCAGCAGGGGGTGGATCTCATCCCTTTTCCACCAAAGGAGAACCCTCCAGCAGGTCAAGAGGGGACTCCCCAGAGGTTCACTAATGACAGAATTGTCCAAGCAGAAATGACAGTAATCATAGCAGCTATTATTAATGAAGGCGCACTATATGCTATGTACTTTACATACACTTTCTCATTAACCCTCACAAAACATCATGCAGTAGGAATTAACACCACCATTTTACACTGAGCACACAAGCAAGCAGCTTGTTGATTTCTCTGGTTACTCTGTTCTAGCATCATGCCTAGAACTGTTTCTGACATACAAGAGGCACCCAAAAAATAGAACTGATGAATAAATTGAATGCCTATTGACTACAAAGTCCAAATATTAGCTATAACATTCTGCCACTTGCAATAGTCACTGACACACCTTCATCCTCAAAGGGGTGTTCAGGAAATGATGTTCGTCACAGGCCGTAGGAGCTGTGTGAACACCAAAACCCATAACCTAAGGTATTAATATTTTCTCTTTGGAAATGTGAATAATATTATATCTGGCAGCTACAACAAATTTTTTTCATCCTCTGAGAAGATTTTTTGGATAAAGCTATTTCCAGGCAATCTGCACATTTGACAGTTCTTTTTGCTCTTTCAAATAAACATTTATTCTTTGCTTGTTTTTCAGAATAAATATAAATTTTCCCTTTTCAAATAGATTCCACTCTGGCCAATCAGATTGTGGGGATGCTTGGCCCAGCAACAAAGAAAAGGTTTCTAAAGTTTAATTAGCAGCCAAAGCAGAAACTCTGCCTTTGCTGGCACATCTCTGGATTGAGATACTGGAGTCCATAAAATGCAGGGTGGTCCGATTGCAGTCCTGATGGGCACAGTCACATCCTTCTGTCCTTCTGGCCCATTTGTTTCGTAACAGTACAGCAATCATGAACAAAGCCACCAAGGTAAGCGGTTCATGGTGAAACAAGGCAGGTCTCTTACCTTTTCAAAGCTGTGGATGGTGGACACTCTTTAGTTATGACTGGGGAACTGTATCAGATTTACAACCATCTGATACACCCCTGCAGCAAGGTTCATGTTAAAAAAAATTTTTTTCCTAACTTCACACCAAGAAAAAGAAAGGAAAGTTCAAACTTTTCTGAAATATGGCAGCCATCAAAATTTTCATCCCAAAGGGTTAGGAAAGTAATTTAAGCAGGTGGTGCCTTAAGACTACTTTCCAGTACCAGTGTTTTGCAATGTACACTCCCTGGTCCTTTTATCCCGTTCTTGAGCAATGCCCTTGAAAACAGGAGAATAGCAGCTCTCCCATTACCGAGGAGCCTGAGTCAGAGCGCAGAGCTGGGTGCCAGTGCCAGACAGCCAGGGGCATACAGGATCCGGGCTGGCTTCCACGCCTAAGATAAACGAGGCACTAGGAAAAGTCCCCCTTCTCTTTTGGGACTCGGTTTCCCCCTCAGTGAGGAAACTGAATTAAATGATCCAGAGTCCTAACATTCTCTTGCTCTAATATTCTGTGATTCTACACCTTTCACCACTCTCATGCCCAAAAATGTACCACGTGCCTCAAGAGATAAAGGTCATGAGGAGAAACTATTTGATCCTAGAATATCATTTAATTTTTTTTTAAGTTTATCCCAAGACAGGAGTGAAAAGGAAAGAAGCTAATTAAACTGATAAGAGTTGAAATACCAGAATATTCCTCACAAAGTTTAAGTGGCGAATCTGACCACCAATAAATGAAAGCAGGGGGCTCAGAGTTGGCACACATCAGTTTTGCACTCAGGGACCCATGTCAGCTCCAAAAGACACACTGAGTCATCTTGTGGCCACATCATTAACTTACTTTAGAAATATCATTCACTTTCTTAATGTCACTCTCATTGGAAATCTTAACAAAAGCAGTAGATCAATTTGCTTGCAATGGAAAATCCACTGAATTGGAATACAGCCTTCAGTAGAGAAGTTTAGTGTGTAGGAATTTTATTCAAATGAAGAAATATTAATTTTTCTTTTTTTAAGCTTTTCTCCATTCCTTTTTTTGACTACTATTTATGTATATTTTAGAGCAAGAATAATCTGATGCTCTAAAGTTTCCCCAAAAAAGAGATCAATGAATCTAGTTGGATTTTAGTTTCCTTAGACCTTTTAAGTTTTTAAATTTTATTAATTTATATGTAATAAAATACACCCATTTTAAAGTATACAAAGAGATGAGTTGAAACAAATGTGTAAGTCCAGGTAACAAGCACCAGAATCAAAACACAGAACATGTCCAAGTTCAGAGCTGGGTAACCACTAAGTGATTGGTTATCACTCTGGGTTGTTCTTTCCTTCTCTATCCTCTTACATGATTGGAATCATACAGAATTTTCTTTTTATTGATCTTCTTTTGCTCACCCACCATGTTTAAGATTCATCCAAGTGGTTACATTTATCAGGAATTCATGTACTTTTATTGTTGATTAATATCCCATTTTATAAATATACCACAATGAGTTTACTCAATCACCTGTTGAGAGATATTTGGGCTGTTTCCAGTTTGTCTCTATTATGGACTCTCTTTGTGAAATGTGTTTTATTTATCTTGGATAAACACCTAAGATTAGTACAAGTAATATAGTCATGTGGGCTGTGTATGATTAAAAATCTAAGCAATCGGGCCTCCCTGGTGGTGCAGCAGTTGAGCGCTGGGTTGTGAAGCTGCCCACAGCCTATGCAGCGCTGGTTCAATCCCTGGCCCGCTGGTGAGGGTCCCACATGACGCGCAGACCTCTCCTGCCGCACCCACTGCTCCCCTCAGCAGTGTACTTCGTCAGTCTGCCTGCTCTGCTCTCTGCTCTGACTCTGGTGAATCCTCTCACCCTCCCGCGCTTCTGACTGTACCCAGTGCCTATATAAATAGATAAATCTTTAAAAAAAAAAAATCTAAGGAATTGGCAAAATTTTCCATTTCTACACACAATGTATGAGAGTTCCCGTTACTCCATTTCTTAACAATGGGTGAGTGTTTTTACATTTAGTAATACATTTTTCATGTTTAGTGGTCATGGGTATATAATTTTCATTTTTTAATATTTTATTTTATATAATTCTTACATCATTTTTCATTTTTGCACAATGTATGCATTTTCATTTTGGTTATATTCCCCACACAATTGCACCCCCCTTATTTTGACCCTTCCTTTCCCCTCCCCCCCATTGTGTGTCTCTGGTTTTTAGTTGCTTGTTGATTTTGATTTTTACTTTATATTAATTAGTCTTTTTCCTGGTCCCTTATTTAGGTTTTCTAAATTTCTGCTATGAGTGAGACCATTCGGTATTTTTCTTTTTCTTTCTGACTTATTTAGCTGAGACTGATCTCTTTTAGCTCCATCCATGTTGCTGCAAACTGCATGCATTTATCTTTTTTGATTGCTGAGTAATATTCCATTGTGTATATGTACCACATCTTCTTGATCTAGTCATCTATTTTGGGGCATTTGGGTTGTTTCCATAGCTTAGCTATTTTAAGTAGTGCTGCTATAAACATAGGGGTGCAGGAACCCTTGGGAATTAATGTTTCTGTGTCATTTGGGTAAATACCCTAGGAGTGGAATTGCTGGATCATATGGAAGCACTATCCTTAGTAGGTTAAGGAATCTCCACACAGCTCTCCATAGTGGTTGGACCAGTTTGCACTCCCACCAGCAATGCAGGAGAGTTCCTTTTTCTCCACAACCTCACCAACATTTGTTGTTGCTAATATTTTTAATATGTGCCATTCTCGCTGGTGTAAGATGGTATCTCATTGTAGTTTTGATTTGCATTTCCCTGATTACAAGTGACGTTGAACATTTTTCATAAGGCTCTTAGACATTTGCATTTCCTCTTTGGAGAAGTTTCTTTTTAGCTCTTCTGCCCATTTTTTGACTGAATTATTCTTTGTTTTTGTTGAGTCTCATCAGCTCTTTGTAGATTTTTGTCATCAGTCCTTTGTTGTGTGCAAAAACTTTCTCCCAGTCGGTGGGGTTTCTCTTTGTTTTGGTTATTGTCTCTTTTGCTGTGCAAAAGCTCTTTAATTTGATGTAGTCCCAGCTGTTTATCTTTGCCTTCACTGTCACTGCTCTGGGTGATGTGTCTGTAAAGATGTCTGTGAGGTACATGTCATGTAGTGTTTTGCCTATATTTCCTTCTATATATTTATGGTTTCAGGTCTTATGTATGATATATAATTTTATATTATTGCTGTTTTCTAAAAATTTTATGTTGAGGATTATGAGTGCTTTGGTGTGGGTGTAAGGTGATAACATACACCTGAAAAGAAATAAGCCTATCTCTCTAAATCATGTACAATATTATAAACTAAAGTACCTCAAGAAAAAATTAATAGGTGAAAAAATTAAAAACTGAAATAAAATGTATGTGCTTTTCTATAAAGGAAACTCTTTAATATATCATTTTTAAATTACATGTATTGAGATAATCTAATTTAAAACTATATATTTAAAACTGTATATATTTTAGGGGTATAGGTTCATAACTTAACAAATGTATGTTATTATACCATGCCCACCAACAAAGACCCAATAATCCTCCATCACAAAACAAACCCTTGAAATCTGAGGGTAGAACTGAAGCTACCAGAGGGATACTGAAGCTACAGGAGGTGGCAGTAAGAACACAGGAAGGAAGGGGCTCAATGGACTATGGTGCAGGATTATTGAGGCTTTGGTGGTAGGTGTGGCATGATAATATTTATAGAGGTGAGAAACTATAGCCCCAAAATATATACATTGTTGTAAATCAACATTGCCTCAATAAACATAATTAAAAAT